AACTCAGGTAGCTAAGGGAGTTAGCAGGGGGCCAGAAGAACCAATGGGACACAGTGCTGAAATTTGAATTGTATATAGATACCTTGCCTGCTCTCTTTGGCTATGTCTACACTGTGATGGTTTTACGCAAAAAATATGCAAATGAGGCTAAGCGTGGAATATCGCTGAGCCTCATTTGCATAATTAATGAGTGGCCGCTTTTTGTGCAAGAGGCTTTTGTGCAATAAGGAGCCATCTACACTGTTCCTTCTTGTGCAAAAAAACCCTCTTGCGCAAGAGCCATTTTTCCGCTTTTTTTCAAATCAGACATCACTTCATCCTAGGTAGAAAGAGAGTTCACATTCAGCATCTTTGATGCATTGGTGCTACCTTTGGTCCACTGAAAGGAGAAGAGCAAATATCCCCATCTTACCCTTTTTGGAAAGTATGAAGACTCTGGTGTAGCCTCATTTCACCCATGCCATCTTCTGGATATTGTGATACAGATATCTATGGAGGCCTAGCATCCCAAGACCAACCTCTGTTACTTCTTTTATCCCAGAACTTTTGCTTTGAAAATAGTCAAGATCCATGAATGCTGCTTTAAATTTCCTTGTGTGGAGCTATCAATTTGAAACCTAAATGGATGAGAGTATTCAGTTCCCTGCAGTAGCTGAGCCCACCCTAAACTTTGCCTGTTCTTTAAGAAATAAGATTTCTTAGGTTATGTCGAGACTGCAGTTATTCCGGAAAAACTCTGCCACGTCCAGCGAATGCTTCCGCTTTTTCGGAACAGTTTCTGAAAAAGCGGGCGCATTCTTTTGGCATCCCTGTATTCCTCTTGGTGAGAGGAATAAGGGGTGTTCCGAAAGAGGTGTTTTTTCAAAAATTTGGCCCCGTGTAGACAGGCAAAATTTTGGAAAAGCCTCTTCCGAAAAAAAAAGAGGAAAAAGATACGTAAAATGCAGTTCACAATGTGTGTATCTTTTTCCAAAAAACCCCCTGCAGCATAGACATAGTCTTAGTCTGACCAAGAGGCTGTCTAAGATTTGTAAAGCTGATGCTGTTTGGATACCTCACTGGTGTTGATTTTAATGGCAGTTGGTATCCAAATACCTTGGGAAGTTTTGAAAAGCCATTGCTTTTCATTTTTGTTAATGTTCTATCCATCCAGTTTAAATATTTATTGAACTTGAATCATTTCTCTTTCATAGTTTGAAGGTGAGGAATATGGCAGCTAGGTCACAAACTCCTGAAATAATTAGGTGTGTGTCTCTGAGAGGAAATAATTATTCATGGTTGGGCATGCTCCAGGCTGATTTTAAATGTAAATAACTGTACTGAAGTAAGAGCCTCATCTGGTTCTATATGATTAATTTACAATTAGTTTGTATAGAGTGTCCTGGAAGGCAACTGTGCCAAAAGGCTCTGTACCCCTAAGGACCAAAGTGTTGGTCAAATCCCTGGTCAAATGGACATGTCTGTCTCCTAGCTCAATATGTTCTTGGTCAGAGAAGATCAGACTCTTGATGAACAGCAGGACATAGTGGGATGAAAATACAGATGTCCTAAATATGAAGCAATTTACTGGTGGCACCTTGTAGTGACTATCTCCCATTTTTCAATTTCTTAGACTGTATTGCATTCCAAGATTTTGGAGTGGAGACATAAAGGTGTAAAGTTCCAAGAAATCAGTAGCTTGAATCCAATATCATTGTTATAAGTGCACAGAGTTGCATTTTTGGCAATGCTACCCAACTACACATCTTTCCCAAATGTTACTAAAATATCAGTCCCTTTTTTTGAATTTATGACTTAATTAATCCAGTTCTTCAGGGGGTTTTTTAACTGATTTCTCATGGTTTCTACCCCTCACCCTCACCCCCAGATAATAGAAGAGATTTTTAATAATTAATTTTCTAAAGGTAAAATTCTTTTCATCGCCCCACTAAAATTCTTCTATGGGGATTCCAGGTGATTCAGTAGAACTACTGGTGATAGATAAGCTGCAAAGTGCCAGACGCTAAATTCAGCCAACAAATGTCAGCTATCTTTAATATTCCTTTGAGTTCCCAAAATCTCATGATTTTGATAAAACGGAAATGTATATTGATATGCACCAAATAAATCCTTCTGAAAGTTCACTGTAGCTTCAGGCAGGGATGGCCACTGAGGCGGCTGCCTCAGGTGTCAGAGAGAGAGAGAGAGAGAGAGAGAGTGTGTGTGTGTGTGTGTTTTGGGGGAGGGGGAGTGCCACTACGATCCAGAGTTTAGAAAATGATGTCTGCTGCTGGTGCATATGTGCATATGGGGGAATCATTTGAGCTCCCTGCCTCAGGTGCCAAAATGTTGTGGGCCGGCCCTGGCCTCAAGGTCTTAACTTTAAGCTATTGCCTTGGAAGATTGTTATAGGCTGTATGAAACAGAATACAGGCAGTCCCCGGGTTACGTACAAGATAGGGACTGTCGGTTTGTTCTTAAGTTGAATTTGTATGTAAGTCGGAACTGGTACATATTGTAGGGGAAACTCTAGCCAAACATTTCTCCAGAGCTCAGTTTTATTCTCCCACACCTCACTTCCCTCAGTCTTTTTTTCTCAAGCTGAGGTGTCTGCTGAGAAAAGCCACTCCGCGTCTCTCTGGTCTGCTGGAGGGGGGCGCTAGCTTCACGTCTCCCTGGTCTGCTGGGGGGAAGCAGCTAGTGCAGGGTTGCCTCACCCCGTTTGTAAGTAGGGATCTGATGTAAGTCGGATCCATGTAACCCGGGGACTGCCTGTATGTCAGAGACCAGCTTTGTGTTAATGTTATCAATGGTTATGATTTCTGTGGGGCTGCCGCAGAAATTTGACTTAAGATACATCAACTCTAGCTACACTATTCTCATAGCTAGCGTTGCGTATCTTAGTTTGACTTTCTCGTGTAGCGTAGACCTGGCCAGAGGCTAACGCAGACTGGCAGGGCAAGAGGGAGACTATGTATTGTCTGTACCTCTTCTGTACAGTGGACAACTTAAAGGAACATTTAGTTCATGAAAATCAGCAGCGTCCAGGAAGGGGATAGGTCTTCCAGCTATTCCAGAGCTGAGGCTGTAGAGGCCATAGGGAGACTTTGCCTTGCAGCAGAGTTTACAGATACATTCCTGTTCCTAGCAAAATTGCAGTTGAGGTTTTTAGACAGCAAGGGATTCCATCTGCACTGCTGCAGCTAGAAGGTGGGTTGAGGTGTGCACGCATGCCCTTGGGCTTTTAGAGGCTTGCTGTTGGCATCACAGCAGCATGTGGGGAAGTGCTTCTGCAGTGGGAGCTGGAGCACTGCATCTTTTCCTGGCAGTTCTCTGGGGGGCAGGGGGAGAGACTTTGTGTGCTCCCACACCCCCAGACCAATCAGGACTGTGAGTGGGGAAGCACGGAAGTGTCCTGGCCCTGCCCCTTCCACCTGAGGCCCCACCCCTTTTGGGGTGGCATGGAGCCACTTCAAAAATTTCTGAAGTTGCCCCCCGTCAAAAATTATTGCCCACCCCTGCATTAACTCATGAAGACCATCAATAAATGTCCCATGGGAGTGTTGCCAGTCAGAACTGCAGGATCAGGGCCCTTTGCTATAGTTTTTCCATCATGAAACAACCCCTCCTGTCTGTTAATCCAGGGGCGGCGGGGAGGAGAAGGGGGGGCTAAGCAGGCAACTGCCCCAGGATCCAGTTATTTAAAGGGGCCTGGGGCTCCGGCTGCTGCTGTGGCAGCAGTGGTACCCAGAATCCCAAGCCCTTTAAAATTGTCACTGGAGCAGCATGCTCTGAGCAGCTCTTAGGGTTGCCTACGGAGGCGGGAGAGCTGCATGGTGCACTCCAAGCAGCATGGCGTGAGGGGGGCACTACGATCAGGTTGGTGCTGAGGCCTGGCTTCCTCTTCGGCCTGAGGCCCTCCCCTTTCGGGGAGTGTGGAGCAGGCGTGACTGTCAGCTCCCCTGTGTACCAATAGCTTTCTCAGATATTCACATGCACAGAACCAAGGTAGTCCAGAGAAGGACTGAGCCTACGTTTCATATGATTCTGTATATAGACAGCCCCAAATGACATCATTTTGTAACTATCTCACATTACAGAATCTCTGATAAGCAAGGGGCAAATAACGAAGCACCCATGTCTTCCTCACTTTATGAGCATATACATAGGTATAGTCTCTTAAAGAGATGTCATCCAGGATGGACCATTTACTCATAGTTGCCCTTTCTAAAGGAAAAACTGAGATGCAAATTAAATCTACCCAAGTGTTCGTATTCAGACCCTATGCTTGCAAGGTAAAGAACTAACTATGATATCAAAAAGCTAAAACTGTATTTGTATTTCTTTTCTAGTAGGCCAGATATTCCTTTACACCAATGCCCATTTATACTGCCAAAAAGGTGCAAAAGGGGCTTAACATTCATGAGATTCAGGTGCTATTGTTTTTATTAATGCATGGATCTTTGGGATAGGATCTCGGCCTATGCATTACGCTCTGTGTACTATGCATGCCTGTGTAGACAGGAAGGGAGAAAATCAATATTTGTTCATTGTTTTGAGTTTCAAACAAAAACACGGTCCCATTACCATCAACAAGTAGAGAGGCAAATGGCAAACAGAGTGATCTTAAGCCCACTTTGGTGAGCAGTGTTTATACTTAGTTCCTGAAAATCCATGGAGTACAATAATAGCACAGACTACCTTCAGCATGCAGTTTGAAGTGCAGGGAGACAAGGTGAACATTCTCTTAAGAGATCCTGAGAAATTCTTGTGGAATCTGCCATATGTTGCCATCTGCTTTCCACAGGCAAAAATGTGCTATAAGCGTCAGGGGTAAATACTATTGGTCAGAGACGATGCACCAATATCTGAAGAGGGGGAAATCTGAGAAATTAGGAGAGTTGGGAGTGATTTCCCAGTTTTGTAAGAAGTGGGATCCAACTGCCTTAGAGCTCACATCACTTCAACAAGTGATTAGTGAAATTATAACAGACCATACACCTGAGCTCTCAAAAAAACTAAAGCAACATTTTTATTTTATACATAACAATCAGTATAAAAAGTTTATTACATAAGAGCTGTTTTGTTTACAATATATTATATTGCTTCAAGCCAATGCAAAAAATTCATACATTATAGTTCTACTTTGTTTACAATATATTATATTGTTCAAATGACAGTGTATATTTAATATGGAGCACTGCAAAATTCTTATGACCAACAATATTGTTCGACTGATTTTTTTTTAATTAAGAAACTTTTTTGTGATACTTCTAAGTACATGATAGTAACAATGCCGTCTCTCTGGCTTTTACAATAAGGCTGCCATACCACAGAAGCACTCCACTCTAATCACAAAATCCATCCAAAGTATTTGGATATTGTTTCATTTTTGGAAAATATTTGCAGCTACATCATCAAAAAGGAAAGTTTAAAAATTACTGAAATATAGTACAAAACACTGTCCAAAGCATTGAAACAAGAAGCCTATATAATTGTGCTAAAGAAGAATTTATAAAACTTAAAAGGAATAGTAAATATCAGCTCAGTGGTTTATAATGAAGCTAATAAAATTCAGGCCAGTAATCTTAACTGTAATGAACAGCATTTTAACATTCAACACATGAAAGGTTAATGAAGGCTATGAACTTTGTGTAACATAAAACGTTTCAGATGTCTGAGTTCACCAGATATAATTGGATTCGGGTGGAACATGCCTCTCTTCAGCCTTTTTAGGTGAAGGCGTGTGCTGTCTGTGCTTGGGGCCTGGTGGCCTCAAGGCACTCATAATGCTGGCTCCATACCCTGAAAAATTGAGAAAGAAACTACAAAAGCAGACTCCTGGTTCATTGTTAACATTTCAAATTGAAACAGTTTTTCCCATGGGAATGTGGGGAATTTTAATACCCATCACAGGTCCCCACATGAAAAAATGGGTGCCATAAGACAAAGTTAATCATGAAAGGATGCTGTCTCTCTGGCTTTTACAATAAGGCTGCCATACCACAGAAGCACTCCACTACACAGATACTCAGGGCTATAATTCTGCCCTGGAGTCACACATGAACAACTCACGTTTGATGGACAGAGAGTCAAAGGCAGCCCTTGGAGATGGGCTTCAAAATGGTATTATTGGTTTGCTCGGTATAAAAATACTGCTGGAGAATGTGTGTTAATTATGTGCACGTTGTTTTCTTTTAAAGCCAAATACAATAAAACAAGAAGAGCAACAGCAAACACTCAGAAAAATAAATTAAAGATCTGAGATACTTTGTTACTGAAACTAAAAATGGGATGAAAAGTATCAGTGTTGTAACTATTCAGTTACATTTTCATTTACAAACCTACTTACAAAACCTCAAGGGAACTTAGGGTATGTCTACACTACCACCCTAGTTCGAACTAGGGTGGTAGTGTAGACATACCCTCAGAAATTACATTTCAGGGTTGCTTATTTTTTTACCATTCCTCTTTAAGAATACTGATAAGCAATTCATTCCAGCTGAGCATGAAACTTTTAAATCAGTTGTACCAAAATTTTCCTGTTCTGACTAGGGATGTCAACGCGTAGACAACTACATGATTAACTGATAAGCCTGGGCTTATCGATTAATCTTGTGGACCACACACACCTTCCCTGCCCTTGCTGCCTCTGTATCAGAGGCAGACCCACCTCCCCCCCGTGCTACTGCTTCTATCAGAGGCAGCAGCATGTGTGGAGATTGAGGGGGAAGCATGTCCATGGTGGACTAGGCTCCATGAGGACAGAAACTGCTCCACAGCAACAGCTCCTGTCCATGGGGGCGGGTCTGAGCTCCCTGCAGATAGAGGCTGCTTTGGCATCTCACAGAGCAGCCTCTGTCTGTGACGAGCTTGGTCTGCCGCAGAGAGAGGCTGCTCCATGACAACAGCCCCTGTCTGTGGGGGGTCCAAACTCTCCGCCGGCCCGGTGCTGCTGCCACAGAGCAGCCTCTGTCCGTGTCAGAGCTCGGACTCCCCCCATGGAGAGGGGTTGCTGCTGCGGAGCAGCCTTTGTCTGCATCGGGACCAGGCTCACTGCAGACAGAGGCTGCTGCAATCCTGCACTGCTGCCTCTACATCAGAGGCACCGGCGCAGGGTGACAGGTAGAACTGACCTGTGTGGGGAGCTGTTTTTTAAAACTGGATCCCGTTGCGGACCGGCTCCTGCCTGCTATCCTGCGCTGCTGCCTCTGATAGACAGGCAGCACCATGCGGTGGCAGGCGGCCCTCTGGGAGTGGGGCCGGGGCTCACTGGCTGCTGGCCCTGCCTCCAGGGACCATGGAATAGTTGTGTAACTGCTAAAATTGCATGTGGTTACATGACTATTCAGTTACACGTTATCTAACATCCCTAGTCCTGACCCTGCCCTCTCTTACCAGTAATGGCATCTCTCCAGGTCCCTACTCTCCATTATAGCACAATTGGTTCTGCAGAAGATCCCGAGCTGAAGGTATAGCTGGGTGCTGAACTGGGAAGGAGGGAAGTGGAGCCAAAGGTGGAGCTGGCCCCAGGGGCAGAGTGGGAATAAGGGGTGAGCTGGGCTGGGGAAAGAGCTGGGTTGGAGGCAGAAAGAGGCTGGGTATTGCTCTCTCTTTCTGCCCTGCATGGGGGCTGGCCTGGGCCCTGTCATGCACCACCCCAAATGTTCCTCATTGCCTCCTCAGGGGTGTGCCCCACATCTTGGGGACCGCTGTTTTAAGATATGGGGATTAGTTTAGTCTTTGTTTTATAGCCATTGTGTTTCACAGCCAATGAAGTTGTCCCTAGAGTAGCTACTTTTTTTTTAATTAAATGCGGGTCCGACTGAGCGATAATTGGTTTTATCTACAGAGTAAAACGAACTCTAGTACAAAGGGCCCGATGCACAACTTCAACAAGTTCTATTTAGATGCTAATAAAAGGTGAATTTTTAGCCAAGGAGCCTGACACTGTTATTGCAAAAGACGTTTTGCCTCATTTTTTGAGGAGTAACATTAGTTCAAACCAAGGGGTTTCGTTCGAACTAACGCGTTCTGGAGCGCACTTTCAGTTTCAAACAGCTGTTGATCCGAGTAACGTGCCGGCGAGACCATGCTAATGAAGTGTGGGATATTTAAATCCCCGCTTCACTGACTATTTCAAATGCCTATATTCGCATCCCTAGTTCGAACTAGGGTGCAAGTGTAGACATACCCTAACTAAGAACTACAGTAAACTTCCGATAATCCGGCACCTTTAGGACCCAGGGGGTGCCGGATTATCAGATATGCCAGACTATCGGAAG